TACATAATTAATCCATGTGACAAAACCTTTTATTTGATATCAAGAACTTTGACCCCTTGACCTTAGAGTTTGACCCACTTTTTATAATTTTTAACCTTGGTTTTAACTTTTAAAGGGTTGAGGATAGGGTTTCCATAGTTCACATATATTCTTTGTGGCAAGACCTTTCATTGGATACCAATTACCTTGACCTTTTGACCTTGACCTTGAAGATTTTTGTACTTCAGAAAAAGATTAACCTTGTTCATAACTTATAAAGGGTTAGGGCTAGGGCTTCCATACTTCACATATGTATTCTTTATGGCAAGACCTTTCGTTGGATACCAAGAAATTTGACCCTTTGACCTTAGAGTTTGACCTTTTTTAAAAAGAAAACCTTGACCTTAACTTTTAAAGGGTTAGGGCAAGTACTTTCATACTTTACATATTTAATCTTGTGACAAGACCTTTCATTTGATAGCAAGACCTTTGACACTTTGGCCTTGACCTTGGAGTTTGACCTTCTTTTCAAAATTTTTTTAACCTTGGTCATAACTTTTGAAGGGTAGGGACTAGGGCTTCCATACTTCACATATGTATTTTTTGTGGCAAGACCTTTCATTGGATACCAGTTACCTTGATCTTTTGAACTTTGACCCATTTTCATATTTCACAATTGTATTTCCAGTGAGAATATCCTACTTTTGGTACCAATATATTAAATTTGCATTTAAGAAAGTTTAATCTTCGCTATGTTGCCATACGGGGGCATCAGTGTTTCACAAACACATGTTGTTTTATTATCTAATTTCTTTATTTGCTTGTCAAGTTTTTTTTTGTAGGTTTGAATTCCCCCCCACCCCCCACCCCCACCCCCCATTACACACGCTTTCAATTTCAATTTTCGCTTACAGGGTCATTAATTATTGTTGAAACTAAAGAGAAGTTCTTTCACTATAATTGAATAAACACTACATGTCGCAGGTATTTGTTTCAGTAATGAATATTTATCCCATAGTAAAATAATAACACTTGTTTTTTTACTATGGATTAAAAATTTAATACTGAAACGGGTTCCTGTGCTTCATGTACCTGAGGATGCTTCGATATACATATATGATTAATCATGACTTTGCTGCTATGCTTCCACAGTTTTTTTTTAATTAAAGATTCTTCATATATAATCCTGTGTAAAAATCAAAATATCAAAACTTGTATCATAACTTATGGCATGTTGCTTTATTCAAAATCTTGTGATTATGTTCAAAATCTTGTGATACATACTATAACCCTCAAACTGAAAGTTTTGATCAGTATTTTTTCACCAACTGGAGTCAAAAACAATGAATCACCACGTGTATGTTTTATTCCATATGGTACTCACACTGCTCAACGCGTTATCGGCTACTCGGTTGTTATCGGACACTCGGTTGATAACAATTTTTGACAGGTTAGTAAATTATTTTAAATAAACTCTGTTAAAATAGAAACAGAGAATATTCATTGTGCTTTTTGTAAACAGAAATGAATACGGATAGAAAATAAAGCCTCGATACGTATTAGTTTAGCATTTGTTAGCTTTTGGAAGGCTTTCAATATCAAATTTGTTATATTTTGCAAGTTTTTCTCCGATTGGCATTGCTGTAAATAGCTTTTTTCTTCAAAATTCTTATGTTTACCTTGCGTTAATGATTGTCCACAAGAAGACTTCCTCAGAATCTTGCAAATATGTAATTTAAGGGCAAAAAGTGCCCGAGTTTAACTTTCAGTATGTTATCGGAAATACGGTTGGATAATGCACTTTGTTATCGGATATCTCGGTTTTGGTTATCGGAAACAAAGGTTGTCATAAATTAGGGGAAAACGCAAAGAAACGACAGAAATCTGTATGAAATCTAAATATTTAAAGTGGCTGGCACGAAATTCTAATTTTTTGCTATAATATGCATCTTTTAAGAATATGTAACTTTTAAAAAATGAGTGTTTTTTAGCATTTCTCACTGAAATCTGCAAGATCTTGACCTGTTTGAAAATATGGTATAAGTTTTAAATTTCATTTCAAGGTACCGATGTCGCCCGCGTGGCGCACTGTTTAGAGTGTCTGCTCTAGAGTATCCAAGTAAGGAGTCGATCCTTACGTAGCGGGTTCGTATCCCACAGTGGGACGTCGCAGTAGGTGGCTAGCACAAAAAAGATCCCTCACTGCTCAATGACCCTGGGTGCTGAGTATATGACAAAGTTTGAAGCTCTCCGCCTGCAAGTGATGACGTCTCCATATGACTGGAAAATTCTCAGGAGGGCGTTAAACAACATACAATCGAGGTGCTGAACGCATGGCGAAGGAACTGTTACTACCCATTTTTGTCGACTTAGGTCAGTCGCCGCCGAGTTTCAAACTCGCAACCTTTCGATCACGAATACATTTATAAGTTTGGTATATACATGTACATGCAAAACAATTTAAACTCAAGGGTGGTTAGATGAATTTCCAAATAGGTAGTTAGACCAAAATATATGACATAAAATTCAAAATTTTGACTTTAACAAATTACAAAATCGTAAATACGGATCTCTAAAACATCGGAGGTTGTTTAACTTGCCAAGAAGGAATAAGAACCCCCTAATGAACGGTCACATCCCGCAGTGTGTTCATATTCAATGTGTGGATAGCGCTAATGCTCGGATGGAGGGGGGGGGGCTGACATGGATTTTGCATTGCCATTGGATGTTTATACTGAAGCAAAAAATCTCCCCCCCCCTTTGTAATTGAAAACGCAAATAACTGTTTGTAGAAAAAGTTAAAAATACGAGGAACTGCATTATGTGAATCAACCAGCATCCCTCCTCCTAAATAGGTATTTTTAACGGTTGGAAAATAAGTTATATATTTTTTTTAATTAAAGCGTTTCTAACACAAAAAATTACAGTCGGCTCCCTTAACTTTAATTTTTTTTTAAATATTTTTTTTTTCTGGACCATGCTTTTTGTTAAAGGATGGTCTCTTTAATCTAATACATATCCAGATTACATTGTATAAAAAAGAATTAAGAATTATTATTTTTCTTTAATGTTGAGAGCTGTCTGATTGACACAAGATCACATGATCATGTATTTAAAAAGTCCTATAAACTAGGTGATTCTATTTTAAGCTTCTAAAAATATGTTTACGTTCTTCTGCGGAGCAACATAAATCTTGACGTCACTAAGACAGGCACTTGTTTCATATACGGGGCACCCCTACTTAAGCCACACCTGCTATATGTGTAACTGTGATGTGATAACTGGACAAAAAAAAAAATAGTTCCCCGGGATCATGGGGGAAATTGAACTTAATTTGTTTTCTTCCAAAAATAACGTATAATACATGTAAACTATATCGAAAGACCAAAGCAAAATTGTTATGATTAATTAAACATGATATATTTACGCCTGAGGCGGTCTCCAAGAGGTTATCTTGAATGGAAAACAAAAAAAATGGTTGAACAGATGAGTAGTTCTATTTTAAATTTATAATTATAAATCTTATTTCTATACATTTATATCAAAACAAACTTTTACGTTTGCTATTTTTCAAGGATTGGCAGATTATAATGGATTTTTCCAAGCTATTTATGAAACTAAAGGAAACTTTTTAACCTGAGTTTCCGATAACGTACACCCGTCAAAAACCGAGATATCCGGCAACATCAACCGTGTTGACGATAACATGTTTTCAACTTACGAGACATTTTAAAAGACTGTTTACTAACCCTTAATTTGGATTTTTAATCTCAGTTTGCTGACCTAAAGGTATCTGATTGTCCACAGAATAAATAGATCAGTTTGTTTGATAGAATAAACTAATTTTGAATTCTACAGAAGTTAAAATGTGATGACAAAGTCCGAAATTTTTGTAAAATATCATTTGAAAGAGCTGTAGATCTTTTGAAAGAGAGTGATTTGGTTTGTGCTTTCTGCTGCTGAAAGTATGATCAATTATCTGTCATAGATCACAATCTTTGTTTGCTGCAATACAAATTTATCCTTAAAATATAAAATTACCCACATTTTTTTTGCACCGAGTGTGCGATAACAACCGAGTAGCCGATAACGCGTTGAGCGGTGTGGTACTGAACATTTCAAACGTGTAATAATAAGCACGAGAGAGAAAAAATATTGATTCAATAGGCCAACTGGGAAGAAGGAGGACGGGAATTACATTTTTAAAAAAAAATTATTCTGCGAGTGGATTTTGTATATATACCTGAAGAGAGCACTGATTGAAAACAATAAGTATAAATTCACTATCAATATTCAATATGCCGGTTTAAAACAAAACAGTGGCGGATTTAAGGGGGGCGCACCCGGCGCCCCCCCCCCCCTTAAAATTGTCAAAGTTAACGTAAATCACAGTTTCGTCTAGAAAATGTAAATATGTCTACTTGGAAGACCTCATTTTTACCCTACAAAATCTCTACAACCCAGGAGCTTCCGGGGGCTTCGCCCCCTGGGCCCCCACCAGGGCTTTGCCCTGGACCCACTGGGGGCCTCAAGGCGGCCCCCAGACCCCTTGCCTACTTTTGGCGCCCCCTCTAACTCCAATTCCTGGATCCGCGCCTGAAAAATTTGTACAAAATGTGGAAAATCCACAAGGACACAATTTATTTTATCATGTCATAAAGCAATTAATTAACTTGAGCATTATAGAATTACCCCCCATCCCCTCATTAAAAGCAGCCCTGTGCTTTTGACATGAAAACGGAGAGTTCGTTTTATGCTTGCAACTCAGATAATCTGAAATCTTTTAGTGTGTTTATTTATTTATTTATTTATTTATTTATTTATTTATTTATTTATTTTTATTTATGTAAAATACTTTGAAATAATACGGTGTAGAAAATATTCATTGGATTCTTATTAAATTTATTCATATTCCATTTCAAACTTTTTAAAAATATGGAATTTTACGTTCCTCTCGGATTATGGAATGTATCGTTCTTTAGATTAACCCTAACAACATTATTTACTTCCGGTTACGACGACAAGTGGGAAAGAGTCAAGAGATTGAGAGAATAGAGGAAAACTTTTAAATATATTTTAACAATAACTTTTTAACAAGAAATATGACAATTTGTGGACTTGCAAGCATTGAAATTGATTGTGATAAGAAAGAAATATCTGTGTTTTGTAAACATGAACTACCAAACACGGGGTCTAAGATCATAGGGGCAGTTTCTGTGCTCTTTGTACAACAACCTGTTTCAGCTACGTTACGCAAAAATGCTCAAAATCCACAGCAAAGTAAGGTTTTTTTAAAAGATAGTCTTTTCTTTTCTTTGTTTTATTAAAAAGATAAAGAAGAACCACATAAAGAAAAAAAGTTACCTGATCAGCATGTTCTCCAGTTTAAAATGTATTTGATATGTCTCTGACTGCAATTATGACTATGAATGATGTTTATTACAATGATGAACAATGGTATTGCCATGTATTGTACACAAGAATCATCACTTTACATTAAAATTTTATTTTGTAGGCTCTTTCCCAAAAGGAAAATGCAAAGATTTTCATGGAGCAACAGATCATATTAATAAACTAAATATATTAGATCAAAGTCAGAAGTTAGAAGTGCCATCCTCATTGTCAGTTATCAATCTTCCATTTGGAGATTTGCTGGAAAAACATTTTCCCCAAACTTTACTACAGAATCCTGAGAAAAATGTAGAACAGCAGATGAATTTTAGAATGGAGTCCCAGCAGAAAAGTGACAGCAAAGAAAATAATCCAAAGGAAGAAACCATCACTGCACAGAAAGTTGTAGTTGACCTGAGTGGAGAAACAAACCTTCCAGAAACTGTAAAAAGTATCAGTCAAAGTGGTTCAGAGAACTCAGTGCAGAAACATACAAAACTAAAACTTCCAATAAGCTCTACACCCATTCGTACAAGACCATTCCACACCCAGAGACCCTTGAAAATGCCGAGCAGTTCACAGCACAATTCAAAAATGATTGCTTTGTCTCGTCCACCTGTTCATCCTGAAAGATTTCAAGCAAACAACCGTGAGACAAGTTTAACTCATAATGTGCCAAGGCCAACCCATCAGAGAAACTCTAGGTCAATCATTCCAAAGCACAGAGGATTTGATTTGCATTGCTTTGTGTGCCATCAAGTTCTAGAAACTTACAGACAAGTTGGAGAACACTGTAATTTACACAACCTCAAACAACAGTGCCCTGTATGCAAAGCAAAATTTTCTGCCACCTCAAATATGAAGAGACATTGCCTTGGACATTTCAGTCATGCATGTTTTACATGTTCTTTCTGTAAGGCTACCTTCAGAAGAAAAGATAATCTTCGAACCCACATGCTTCGTCATCTGAATAAGAACAACAAAAGTAAATGCATGGTAAATACTGGAAAGAAATCAAATAACAGGGAGAAGTCAACCTCATCTGCAAAGAGAGATTATGTAAATGAATTACAAGGTACACAGATTGTTCATGAAGGGGATAGAGTAGAGAGCTGCGAGCATGAAGAAAATACTGAAGTTGTAAACTTGCCAGTCAAACAAGAAAATAAAGAGGTGAGGGAGCTTGGTGAAATGGAAATAATAGAAACAAATGAAAATCCTGATGAAGTGACACAGGATAAAAGTACAGCTTCCAAAAATTCAAATCAGCATATTGAAAATGAAAATCAGGGAAAGGAGAAAAGAATAGTCAGCTATGACTGCAGTTCATGTGGGATGAAATTCTCTGATATACGTAGTGTAAGAAAACATGTAATTCGACACCATGCTGAGCAGATCGGTCAAGTTTCTCCTGTGAATGAAAACAGCAGCATGCACTTGTCCCAAGACCAGTCAGAGAGATACCAAGCATTAGAAGTAGATCAGTGCACAACTGGTGAGCATGCTTTGTCTAGAGACACTGATAATGCAAAGGACAATAACCTGATAATGTCGGGCAACAAGATTTCTTTCTCAAACCAAGAATACACCCAAAGTGATGTCATTGACATTGAAAATTTAAGTCAGATGTCAAATGGTGACACAAGTTGCAGCTCAAATTCTCTGGAGCAAGCCTCATTCTCAGGATCTAAACATGAAATCCCTTCAACTAGTACTCCCCAGTCTGGTCATTCTAAAGGCATGTTAGGGTCACCAACACTGATGTGCAATGTTTGTCAACAGTACCTCCTTACCGCAGAGGCTCTCATGGAACATCAGACTCTGCATACTAATGTGATGGGAAGGGGACTTTGGTGTGTTGTTTGTGGCACACGATTCAGCTCCAAGGACTGTTTACGTCGCCATGTTAACAATCACATGGGCACTCGCTATAAATGTCCATTGTGTTCAAGTGTTTATAGCCGGAAAGACAATTTGAAAAAACATGTGAAAGATGTTCATCATTATCACTATGACAAAAATGGGATTGTGAGACCATTAATGCAATTTCAAGACTGAAGAATTCTGTGTTCAGAAATTTGAATAACAACAGGCAAATGCAACTTGTCCAATCTTTACATAGCAATCAAATACATGAGAAGAGGAGGGGAGTATCAAATTAAATAAAACAGTGAATTTGACAGGAGTTCTTTTCAATACCATCAATAATTTGTAAAACTTAATTCTGATCTTTTTTTACTTTCATATTCAATTTGATAATTTTTTTAATAGACATAAAAAATGTCATTCTTAATATTTTTGTTGATAAATATTCATTTTAGTTTTGCTGTACTGGGTGTATAGTTTGAATATTAAACCTGATCATCATCTTAAGGTATGTCACTCGTGAAATTTGTTAAATCAAGGATTTTTTGAGAAGTGTATTTTGCATAAGTGCTTATATTAGCCATATAGAGTGACTCAAAATAGCAGAGAAAATAGGGGGTCAGTGTTCATCTTACTGATCTACGGTACAATGAAGTTGACCTTTTTGCACTTAAATTCTAACTCTTCGGTTAATTACTTAATTTAACCTTTATCATATTTTATCAGATGTAACGATGGCAATAAATATGATTTTATTTAATGTAAAATATTTTGAACAATATTTATTATTGAACAAATCTTGCAAATCAATGCGCGTAAATTATTGTGTGACCTTTTTTGCACTAAAAAGTAACATATTTGGGGTATTGGAAAACTAAAAAGGCAATAAAACATTTTCTTAAATCAAGCTTTTTATGACTTAAGTCACAAGTATCGTGTACTTTAAAATAATGAAAGAAAAAGTTGGGGTCAGTGATGTTAATTTTGAAATATTGGTCAAAATATGTGATTTTCAGGCGAAAAATGGTGTAAATTTTATCTTGACTTATTTGACATATCTTCATTTTTTGTAAAAAAAATTGTTGAATGGAGGCGTAAAACTTGTTCTAAAAATTTAAATTAAGTCCTATATAAAATATTCCTAGCAATAATGGAAAATATTCTCCGAGTAAAAGTATGTGAGGCTAAAGTTCCAAGATGTTAAATTATCAAATGTGCAGATTTGCAGAATTATCTGCTAAATATCCTTCCAGCACAAGAAAATAGTCCCTCATAAATCTTGCTTCTTTGTAGCTTTTTGAGCAGTTTTTTTTTCATTGAATGTTGAAACATTAACATTGTTGAAGTTAAATATGTTATAAAAATTGAGTTTAAATAATAAATATATTTTAAATAAGAGATTCTGCTTGAACTTTTCTAAAAAGCTGACGAGTGACATACCTTAACTGATTAAATGCCTTATTAGGTTTGAGAATTAAATATGATAATTAATTATTGCATGTACATAGAATTATATATTACAAATTTACAATTATACATTTTCTTTATGTTTAATACAGTTATGTTTATTGACATGAGGTACATGTATTATAAAATTCATTCAGGGTATTTTTTTTTCCAATTCTTGTGAAAAAAGGTATTTTTCTTTGTTTAATTATTACAATAAAATTTTATGATCATTTTCAATAAAATATCCAGATAAACAGAATCACTGTTTACTAAATCTTCTAAGGCTCTCTATGGTATCTGTAACGGGAGAGGAGAAAGTGCAGCGGACAAGACCGGGAATCGAACCCTGGCCCCCTGAAACTCTGGTCAGGTGCTAAACCAACTGAGCTATCTGGACACCGGTGATCGAACCCGGCTGACCGCCACATTCCTCCCTCCTTAAAGGTCTTTGGCCCTCCTAAGACCCCAGTCCAGGCTCATCCCTGGCAGGCCTCTCACCTGTCAGTTCCAGGGCATGGCCTGGCACCAAATGTAATGGGAGAGGAGAAAATGCAGTGGACCAGACCAGGAATCGAACCCTGGCCCCCTGAAACTCAGGTCAGGTGCTCTTCCAACTGAGCTATCTGGACATCGGTGATCGAACCCGGCTGACCGCCACATTCCTCCCTCTTTAAAGGTCTTTGGCCCTCCAAAGATCCCAACCCAGGCTCATCCCTGGCAGGCCTCTCACCTGTCAGTTCCAGGGAATGGCCTGGCACCAAATGCAATGGGAGAGGAGATAATGCAGCGGTTCAGACTGGGATTCGAACCCTGGCCCCCTGAAACACCAGTCAGGTGCTCTACCAACTGAGCTATCTGGACACTGGCGATCGAATCTGGATGACCACCACAGTATCTCTGATATCCTTGAGAATGTGGTTTATCTGTCATTTCTCTGAGGATCTCATCCCTCCGATGTGTATTATATATGATTGATTAGTTTTCCAGTTTGTATGGGGTTTACCCTGTGTTTTATTCCATTACACCCTGACGCGCCCTGATTGTGTATGCATGGAATTCAACCCCAGCCCTGTACATCCCTAACTGGAAAATGAATATATTTCGTATAAACATAAATACAAATTCAACTAGTGCTAATTGTAACGGGGACCGTTACAGATGTTCCCCAAACGCTCCCCAACTCCCTTTTGGTGCCATATTCCCTGTAAGCTTCATTAAATAGGACAAACTCTATGCATTTGAAATTTTAACAAGATTTACCCAGAAGTGAACCAAGTTCATTCAAATTTTAGCATTGCACGCGTGCGCATGTGAATGCATATGCGTCATGACCATATCATCATGTCTACACAATCTGTATATTTTAATACACTGAATATTAAAGTATTTAATCCAAAATTATTAAAAAAATACGCTCATTCAAGTGTATTTTTGATTTTACTCATATCACGTGCACGCACGTGCATACATGAGCATGGTGACCATACCTTCTTGTAGAAGTCCATTACATCTATCTATGTTCTCATTCCACCCCGCTTGGTTGAAAACCAAGGGTGTTGTAGCTGTTTAAAGTTTGAGCCAATCAGATTGCAGCGCACGTACACGCACGTGTATGCATGTGCATGGTGACCATACCTACTTGTAGAAGTCCATTATATCTATCTATGTTCCAAATCCCATCCTGTTTGGTTGAAAACCAAGGGAGTTATAGCTGTTTAAAGTTTCAGCCAATCAGATTGCAGCGCACGTGCATGCACGTGTTTTCATGATAATTGCTTTATTTCATGTTGTAGGATATCATAATGCATGGCTATGTTCAAAATTTCAAAGGATTTCGTCAAAAAACAAGAAAGATATTGAGAATTTAGTATCAGCCAATCAGAGCGAAGCGCACGTGCATGCGCATGAGATCTTGCTATTTTGACCATATCATATTGTCTACGCTACTAATATATCATCAGATTATGAGTTTCAAAGCATTTCATCCAAAAATAGAAAAGTTATGGCTATATCTATTATATTGGTCATTTCACGCGTTGCACGTGCACGCTCTTGCAAGCACGTGCGTGCAAAATGACCTTCATTCCGCAAATCTACATAACATGCCTACTGACCCTAAAAAGGTTTTACCTAAGTCGGATGTGTAGTTTACAAGATCACTCCCGGACAAAAAAGTACCCAGGAGGAAGAAGAAGAAGAAGAAAAATAATAATAATAAGAAACAGAGTAAAAACAATATGTTCCCCAACTTCGTTTGGGGAACATAATTAACTGATTTAAGCTATCGATAGTAATATGTAGTACGTGGCACAATGCATAGGGATGTCAATGTTACAGCTGGCTCAAATAACAGTCAGCAGTCTGATGTACAGAAATAATACACAACTTACAATTTATAAACTCCCTTGTTTATGCTTAGAAATGATTGTCCAACTTGTGTGCTTTTATTCCCTCACTAAGGCCCAAGGATAAAAATACACAACTTGATGCATAAAAATCCATCTTTATATACAATGCCATAGGTCCTGAGTCAAGTTGTTGCTATGGCAGTGACTGTTGATTCATCAGGACCCTTCCACGACATTGATAGGATAGAAAATCATATCTAATCACAAAGTATGGGAGATTTTATTTGTACATAATAGTAATTAATTGATGAGTTTTTTTTCATTCTCTTTAAAGATAAAAAATTATATCGAGTTACATTTTTCCTTCCTTCCTTTCTCTCTTTGTTTGTATGTTCACTTTTTTTGTTTGTTGTTGGTTTTTTTTTTTTTTTTGCTTTCTTTAGTTTTTGTTTAAGGATTTGAAAAAAAAGAAATAACATTCACGGAGGTTTCGGACAATGATAGGAATGTTTTCACGTTTGTTCGGAATAAATTCGGTTGTTATCATGGGTTCTCTATTTAGTTACATTGACGTCGAATCCGGTTTGAGAAAATGACTCGCCGGCAACACGATGTGTGTAGGTTCCTTTTGTTTCAGCACTTTGGGAAGCAGACATCTATTGTTGGTAGATATTTACTTCAAAGATCATCATGTCCTCTTCAGTTGATATCGTCAGAAACAAGTATAGAACCAGAGCAGGTAAGAAACGAAAGTGGATAGTAAAAATCTATCACCACTGACAACACAATATTTTACAGGTCGTTGCATCATTTCTCTGTTTTAGTGTAACCTGAGATTCCTCTGACCCTTTTCCCCATCAGAATGCTTTATGTTATTCATGTCATTCTGATAGACATAGTTACAGTTGGCTTCTCTGGCCACTAGAAGCATCTCTGAGCATTGACATGTAAATCCTGTCCTTACAAGAGGTCAAAATCTGTCTCTGTCCTGTTCAAGCACCCATTTTTGGTAGATTAAATTGGGAAAAAAGATAAAAATTGGGAAATTTTTACCAGGCATAATTTAAACTCTTACAACAAGAAAAATCAAATAAACACAGAATAATTAGATAAACTGAAAGGAATCATCATCAACGACTTCCTCTTAGTGGAAATATTTTTTTCTACACTGACAACAGTACTGCAGGGATCAAACTTTTTGACCACTGTAGCAAATATCCGCCGATTTATTTTTACTATCAAATTGTAATATTGAACTTTTACTATCATTTTTTCTTCTTAAAGTAATTCATATAAGATTTTTAAAAATAATCAAGCATGTTTTATTAAAGATGAGATTTATATATTTAAAATTAAATCATTAAATACACTGGGAATATATTTTTTGGAAAATTACATAACTTTTTTACTCCAGTTGATTAAGTGATAGTAAATAATTGAATGGAATATCTAACGTTACATTGTATTTACCATAAACGAAGGAGTGGAGGAAATTCGGATTGAAAACAAACGATCGTTTTTGGAAGTAAATACGTCATATAGTGCTGCAAAATGGATAAGATTATAGGGATTTACAAACTTTTGGAGCATGGTACCTAATTTTTTTTTTTAATTGTTAGGGAATCTAAAAGCAAAACAGTGAATAAAATACCTGACACATTCAGTCATTGGTAATCTGAATTTTTAAGACCTTTTTTTCTTGCAAAAGGTTTTTAATTCTCATTTAAAGAATATTTTCCATTCACAAAATGTTGTGAATGAACAAGTCGTACCCAAGAGAATTTGTACTTTACTACAGACTACAATATGGTTCCAGCATATAAACAAACTACCAGTTC